TTGGCCTCCACAGCCCACAGAGAGGGAGAGGAGCTTCCAGCCAGAGCAGGACCCTGGGAAGGTCTTCAGAGGGCACAGGTGGGGACGGGGAGGAGGCTGAGGCACGGCCTGGACCCAGGGTTTCCACTGACCTTCCTTAACGCTGTTTGGGTCCATCTCCCAGGAACCAGGTGACCTGCCTGTCGGTGTCCACGGACGGCAGTGTGCTGCTCTCGGGCTCCCATGATGAGACGGTGCGTCTCTGGGACGTCCAGAGCAAGCAGTGCATCCGGACCATGGCCCTCAGAGGTGGGTGCCCGCAGGTATCCACACAAGGAACGGGCACAGCCTGAGGGCCAGTGGCCTCCTAGGCCTGCAGGCCTGGCCAGCCCAGGCTTCAGGCCCTGGGTCTGTGGGGCTGACTGTTGGTGTCCCCCAGGCCCTGTGACCAACGCATCCATCCTGCTGGCACCAGTGGGCATGCTGAGCTCCGACTTCAAGCCCAGCCTGCCGCTGCCCCGCTTCAACAAGCACCTACTGGGCGCCGAGCACGGGGACGAGCCGCAAGGAGGAGGCCTCCCCGTGCGCCTAGGCCGCCACCAGCAGGTAGGCCCCCACCTGCTCTGCAGGGTGCCTCTGCACCTTTTCCTGGGGGTCTTTCCTGCTAAACTGCAGCCTCTTCTCACAGGCCCACATCCTCAGCATCCCCTCCCAGCTGGAAGGTCAGTGCCCCTCAGTGTCTCCCCAAAACAACACCAGCCACTGGCCACTGGTGGCATTAGGGGGCCCGGCAGCCTGGGTCCAGGAAATGCCAGAACTTCTAGGGTGGCTGCAGGCCTGGCGTGTAGGGGTGTCCTGCCAACACCTGACCACGCAGTGCTCTGACCCTCCACAGCCATCTCCGGTGGGCAGTGGTGTTTCCAGATGGTTCTGCTGAGGGTCCCCGCTAAGGCCCCAGGTGGTGTCACGACCCTCAAACCCCTGCCTGGCATCCACGTGACTGTCTTGGGCCTGGCCACGCTGGGCCTGCTTCATTCACCGCTGCAGGCCTCTGGCTCACGTCCCCTGTCCAGGCCTGGCCATGGCGGCTGCCACTGGACAGCTTTATGGGTGGAGCTGACCCTGCAGGCTGGCTGGCCCCCTCCTGGGCAGCAACTTGATCCCACTCCAGGTCCTGAGCCTTCTTGCCCTGCCCAGGTACCACTTCTGCACTGTGCCTGTCTCCATTCCTGTTGCTGTCCCCAGGACTCTCCCAGGCAGTCTTGGACAGTGACACATTGGAAAGAGCACCTGGCCTCCTAGCGGCCACCTGGCCTCTGAGCTGTGGGCAGCATTCCAGGTGATGTGGCCTGGCAGTGTGGCACAGTCCGGGGTCACGCGTGCCCTTGTGTTGCAGGGATCAGAGCCCAGCTACCTGGACCGCTTGGAGCAATTGCACAAGGTCATGTGCAGCACCATGGAGAAGGTGGGCGGGGCGGCGCTCCCCAGCGGGTGGGGGGGTGGGGGTGCCGATCCTCTTCGCCCTCTGACCCCCGGCCCCTCCCTAGAACGTGCTAGGTGGCCAGGACCAGCTGCGCGTGCGCGTGACGGAGCTGGAGGACCAAGTGCGCAATCTGCGCAAGATCAACCGCGATCTCTTCGACTTCTCCACGCGCATCATCACGCGGCCGGCCAAGTGAGGGCCGCGCTGCGAAGCCTCCGCGACCAGCGCCTTCAAGGGCCGGGCTCAGGCGCTTGGGCCAGTTTTGTGTTTCGTTTGGATTTTTTACTCCGTTTGGGGGCTGTTTTGTCTGGGTTTTGGTCCACTGGTATGGGTCGTGTCCCATGGTGCTGTTCTGTTTTTAACAAAAGATGGTCTAAAAGCCGCTTTCTGCTGCCATGTGTCCCTGCCAGACCCAGTGGCCAAACTGGGCCCTCCAGACCCAATGCCACGGTAGGGGGACTGTGGTCATCGGGTTCCAGGCTGAGGCCCCTCTGGCCTGGAGGTGGCCAGCCCCATGCAGCAGGCAGGCAGGTGTGGAGGCCCAGGGGTTGCAGAAGGAGCCCACAGCTCAGTCAGGGGGGCCTCTGCTAGCCGTGGGGACATGGGGGCAGGGCCAGCTGCCAGGGGTAAGGGTGCCCCCAGGGCAGAGGGAACTAGGTCCAGCCCTGGAGGGCAGGGGCCCAGCGCATGGGGATCAGGGCCAGGCCTGGGGCCCCACCAGTTGCTTGACCCCTTCTGGGACCTGGAGATGGCCATGGTGGGGTGGGCTCAGGCTCCACACTGGCTGCTCTGTCCACCGCCACCCCGGACCAGGACCAGCCCCTCGGGGGTGCTTCATCCTGGGAGATGACATGGTCACCTTAGGGGCCTCACCCAAGTCCCCTGCCTGGTAAAGAATGCTGTGGACGGCTCTTCAGAAAGGGGAAAGGCCGCTCCCACCTGGGAGGGCAGCAGTGTGGGCACCATTCTAGGCCAGCCCCCTAGCGGGATACGCTCTGGCCACCTGACCGTGCTGGCCGGCATCAGGGCTGAAGGAGGCCACTCTCCCCACCCCACTGTCCCAGGAATGCTGCCAGCCGCCAGGCTGTCCCTGGCGCCCAGCCCAGATGCCCCAGGAACTTTCCAGAAGGCTTCCCTAACTGACACCTCTGTTTAATGGTCCAGAAAACCCATGTGACTCAGCTGGTGCCGTCTTGCCCTGGCCACGCCAGCGCAGTGCAGCTGACCTCTCCAGGGCTCACTGCTGGCAGACTGGCCTGGTCCCTCTCCTGCTACCCCCACCTGCCCCATCCTGCGGGTGCTGTGTGGGGCCCTCAAGCCACTTGCCCCCCCCAGGAACCCCAAGGGGCAGGCCCTGTGCAGGCCAGCCTCTGCCCGGCCCGTCTACCTGGAGCTGGGCCTGGAGGGTGGGAGTATTGGGGTGGCAGCCCCACGGCTCCCAGGTCCCTGGAGGTGCTCCCTGGCACCCATGCCCACCCCTGGCCGCCACCTTTCAGCTGCTCACCACACCCCTTTGCAGGGGTGAGGCTGGGAGGCCTGGAGCCACAGGGTGGGGCTGGGGGAGTCAGAGCTCTCCCCCGCAGCCCCCGAGGGTTCCTGTGGCCAGAAGGCCCCAGCCAGCATCTGGGAGTCCTTGGTGTGGCCACCCCACCCGTGACTGGGGACCAGGGTGGGCCGGTGGAGGCAGGCCTGTGAGGGCAACTGTAGATGGTGGCCGTCCCAACCAGACACTGGTTGCCTCTGGCAGCAGGAGCCCGTGGAGAGCACATGGCTCTGGCTCAGCTCCCTCATCTGCAGAAGAGGTGTCCCTGGCCGACCCCGGGGAGCCCTCCAGGGCCAGGCTGATGGGTGAAGTCAGGTGTGGGGCAGGGTGCTCTCCACAGCGTCCTCGGACACACCCTCCTCTGCTGCGTCCCCTCCCTGCCCAGTCCTGGTCAACCGAGGGGACCCCCTACCCAGGTGCTCTCCTGCACCCCCTTCAGGTCTGCGTTCTCAGGCTGGGTGAGAGCCAGATGATGGAGACCTGTCCCGGGTGAGGACAGCAGGATCAGGGATCCACAGGGCCCCTCTAGACCCTTGGCACAGGCATGGGAGGCAGGCCACTGTCTGGGAGGACTCTGGTCGGGGGCTGAGCCACACCCCAGTTCTGTGATTTTGTATTTTGGGAGGCAGGGTCTCCCTACGTGGCTGAGGCCAGCCTTGAACTTGCCACCTTCCTGCTGCAGCCTCCCAGGGCTGGGGGGGCTGGGATGGTCACCCCTAGGAGGTCCCTGGAGTCTCGGCCGGCCACACAGACAGGAAGCAGCATGGTGGGCCAGGGTGGGGAGGGGAAGGGTAGGAGCTGCTGCTGAGTGGGCAGTGCTTCTGCTTGTGGGATGGAAAGCTCTGGAGATGGACATGGGGTCAGCATACAGCCCTATGACTGCTTCGTACCACTGAGTCGTGTGCTGAGAAGTGTTAGAAATGGCAGTGGGTTATGTATATTTACCATAATTAAAAAACAAAACACGGCTTCCCGGTGTTGGCTGGTGGGGCTCACGGTCCCCGGAGGAAAGCAGGCCTGGGGCGTGGCCTGTGTCCGGCCGCCTCCTAGCACCAGCTCATGGAAAAGTCCACTAGCCTGAAACCAGCTGATGTCCTGGTCCTGGAACCTGCCCCTCTCTGAGTCTCCTGCCCAGAGAGGATGAGACCTAGCAACTCTAGGATACTGTGCCTGGGCAGTCACAGCGCAGGGAATGGGTGCCTGGGGACCCCCTGAGGGCCAGAGGGGCTCCCTGCTGTGACGGTGGCTGGGCTTGGGAGGGCAGGGACCTGGGATCCAGAACCCTTGAGGACCAAATTTCTCTCTTGGGATGCCTGGCCAGGCAGCTGGACAAGGGGTCCCTGAACACCCAGATGGAGCCACCAAACCCTCATTAGAGTCACTCAGAACTCAGCTCATTTGCCGCTGGAAATGGCTAACATTTGGCATTTTTGTTCATTTAATGGAGTTTTTTCTTTAATTTTGGCTCCAAAAGGAGGTGCATGTGTGTACGTGTGTACATGGCTAACCCGTGCAGATCTGCTCAGTGCAGCCGGCCAGTTTGGTGGCACATTGCCTGCCACCTGAGGGGTCTCGAGAGTGGGGTCTTCCCTAGTCTGGGGTCTCTGTCTGCCCCCACCAGGAGGAAGAGTGCGTTCCTGGAAGGCTGCTGCCTGAGCCTGTGTCCTTCGCCCTGAGTCTGGCTGTCCACCAAGCCCCTGTTGGGTGTGTTACCAACCAAGGTCTGGCTCCGCCGACAGGGAGGCTGAGGACAGGAACCTGAGGGATGGTGAGGGCATTTCTGAACAGTGGAGGGGGTGATGGAACCAAGCGTCCTTGTCTGAGCAGTTGCTCAAGGCATTACTGAGTCCTACTGGAGACAGGAGTAACCGAGTCAGACCCACCCTGCCCTCCCAGAGCAGCGTGGGAGAGAAAGTCTCAAACACAACAGCAGGTGTCCAATGAGCTGGAGGACCAGAGCCTGGGGTGGAGGAGACAGGGGTGAGGGGTGCTTCTGCAAGTTCCTGGGTGGAAGGAGGGAGGGAATGTTTCAGAGTGGGGCGTCTGGTACTGGTTTTTAAAGGATGAACAGTAGCTCTCTGGTCCAACTTGCCCGCCTAGGGCTGGAGAGCAGACCCACTCAATAGCTCTCCATCACTGACGTTCGCCTCACTCCCCAGAATACACAATGTTGATGGTGCTTGTCCCTTGTCGGGGTAGAAGCTGCTCTCTGGAAGTGGGGTGGATCCGGACCCTCTTGGGACTCAGTCTTCCCACCTGATCAATGGGAAACGTCCCCAGGCTGGGAGGCCAGGGAGATCCAGGATCCTGAGATCGGTGGGGGTGTGAGCCAATTCTGAGGCCCAAACTCCCTCCCTGGTGGTTTCCTCATCTGTAGGATGGGAAATGACTGGCTGGCAAGTACCCAGCCCTGCCAGGCACAGTCCGCCGCTCCCTAGTGGGCCGCCAGTCATCTGCAAGCCAGGCGGCCGGCTGCTGCTCACTGGCGGGCAGCTGGGCTGGGCACGCAGGCGGCGGCGGCCGGGAGGGCGCGCCGCCGGCAGGAGCAGGAACCCTCCAGTGCAGTGGCATCGCGGCTCCACCCTCCACTGGCAACTTTGCGATGGAGTTTGTGCGGGCGCTGTGGCTCGGCCTGGCGCTGGGGCTGGCGCCCGGGTCCGCCCGCGGCCACCCGCAGCCGTGTGGTGTTCTGGCCCGCCTGGGGAGCTCTGTGCGCCTGGGCGCCCTCCTGCCTCGTGCATCCGTTGCCCGCGCCCGCGCCCGCACCGCGCTGGCCCGGGCTGCCCTGGAGCCGCCTCTGCCGCACAACCTCAGCCTGGAGCTTGTGGCCGCCGCGCCCCCTGCCCGCGACCCTGCCTCGATGGCCCGTGTCCTGTGCCAGAAGCTGGCCTCGCCGGGCGTGGCAGCCTGGCTGGCCTTCCCCGAGTCGCGACCGGAGCTGCTGCAGCTGCACTTCCTGGCCGCTGCCACGGAGACCCCGGTGCTCAGCGTGCTGCGGCGGGAGGCGCGCGCGCCCCTCGGCGCCCCGGTACTCGCGGACAACCGCCAGTGGGTCGGGAGCTGGGGTGGCTGGGGCTGCTCCAAGGCGCGCCCGCGGGAACCGAACCCCTGGACTCCTCATGACCCAGGGCACAGGGATGGGGACTTAGACATGGAAGACCCGGGTTTCCCCGGAGCTGCAGGAACCGGACAGGCGACTGGAGCCCCAGGGTACCCGATCTGGAGGCCTGGCCCCACAAGACCGTCTGTCCTTTGAGGCGCAGGGTTCCTGGGAAGACCATTCCCGGGGTGATGGAGGCAGACCCCTGCCCCTTTCCTGCCAGGTGGACTCAGGCACCCTGGATCAAGGGCTCCTGCTGTCCCTAGGCTGGGAGGGCAGGGGTCTCCCTCCTCACCTGCAATGTGCAGTTTCAGGGGTGCAGGTTCAGACCTCCCTTCTCCATGGTCCTCTCCTTCCCTCCAGAGACCCTGGAGGCCAGGCAGCCCCCACCTCATAGGCTCCTGCTGACCTGGAGTCATTTTGAACCTTCACACCCCCTTGGACTTACTCTCTTCTTGATCCCAGCCCCAGATTCCAGGAGGAGAGCAGGGTGGCTGGTAGGCCCCAGGCCCCCAACAGGGCCCACTGTACCCAGAGGAAGATGCCCCTTTGGGGGCCAGCAGGAAGGGCCAACCTCAGGACTGGCTCCCAGCGGGTCTCCTCACTCCTTCCAAACCCATCTTGGAGACACCCGGCCTGGCCTTCCCTCTCCTCGGGAAGAGAGACCCCGACTGGAGAGGCAGGTCACTAACCAGCGCTCCAGGCCCAAACCCAGCTGTGTGGCGCCCTCTGCTGCCACTTCCAGAAACTGCGTCCATGCGTTGCCACTGGGGCCCTGGGCTGGGGACTGGTGTGTCCCCCAGGGCCTGAGTTAGGTCTCCCAGTTCAGCCCTGGCCAGTTAGCACCCTGTCCACCCAGGCAGTGTCCTGCCCACCCTAGGTGTCTGGTAAGCAGTCCTGCCTTCCCTCAGAGCCCCGGGCCCCCGCAGTAATGTGTGAAGAGGGCCCCTAGCGGAGGCTGGGCTCTGAGAGTGGAGTCCCTGCCCTCAGCCCTGGAGAGCTCCGAGGGGGGTGGGCAGGCAAGCCCAGTGCAGAGAGGGAGGGCCCGCGGACGGGGTGTTCAGAGGGGGGCCACAGAGGGAGAGGCCTGGGGTCTCCCTTAGGAGAGAAGAGCACACCTGCTCGGGGTGATGGGGGAGATCCCAGAGTGAGCTGTGACCGGGGGCCAGGCTGAGAGTGCCCCTGCAACCCTCAGGTGAAGGTCTAGCCTGCAGGAGGGGGTCGGCCCTGAAGGCCTGGGCAGGGGCCATCTGGGGAGGGGTGGCCAGCCTGCCCATCAGTGACAGGAGTGCAGGTACAGGGGACAAGGCGGCTGCCGGCCTTGACAGCAGCACCCCTGTCCCAGACCCCGTTCCACCTGCAGCTGGACTGGGCCAGCCCCCTGGAGACGCTGCTGGACGTGCTGGTGTCCCTGCTGCAGGCGCACGGCTGGGAGGACGTCGGCCTGGTGCTCTGCCGTGTCCGGGATCCCGCTGGCCTGGTGGCCCTCTGGACAAGCCGGGCTGGCTGGGCACCGAGGATCCTGCTGGACCTGAGTCGGCCGGACGTGGGGGATGTGGGGCTGCGCACACGCCTGGCCCCACTGGGGACACCAGGGGGAGGTGAGTCCCCAGTCCCCGTGGCCGTCCTCCTCGGCTGTGACACCACTCACGCTCCACAGGTGCTGCAGGCTGCCCCTCCTGGGCCGCGCTGGCTGCTGGGCACCCCACTGCCTGCCGAGGCCCTGCCCACGGCTGGCCTGCCACCTGGGCTGCTGGCCCTGGGCGAGGTGGCCCGACCCTCACTGGAGGCCACTATCCACGACGCCGTGGAGCTGGTAGCCCGGGCACTGGGTAGTGCAGCCCGTGTGCAGCCAGAGCGGGCACACCTCCTGGCCATGGCGAACTGCGAGGACCGGGAGCCAGCAGGACCAGAGTCCCCCGGGCGCTTCTTGGCTCAGTGAGTGGGGACCCTGCTTTGGGAAGGCTGTCCGCCCCGTAGGGTCGCCCCTGCACTATTATCCTGTGCTTGCTGTGTGCGAGGCCTGAGGACAGAGCGGGTTTTGTCTCAGGCGGAAGCAGAGAGACCAAGAAGGGGGCCGGGTGAGAGGACTCACTAGGGACTGGTGGCCCTGCAGGACAGCCCTGCAGGAGGGGCACATCTCAGCCTGCAGCCACAGAGCGCCCTGAAGTGTGAGCTCTACCTTGAGTCTGGTGAAAGGGCCTTGCACCCCCAGGCACCTCCTGTCACCCAAAGCCAATCCAGGAGCGGCCTTGAGGAGCAGGCAGCTAGGGCCCTGGGCGGCCCTGCCAGCCTCCTGCCGGCCACTCGCGCCAGCCTCTCTGCTTCTCCCAGACCCCTGCGACCACAGCCCAGTGCCGTGCGCACACTTCCCAGCCGCTCCAGAGGCTGGGGAGGGAGGGTCGCAAATGCCAGGCCAGCCTCAGCAACTTACAGACCCTGTCTCAAAGTGAAGTGTGGAGGGCCGTGGACGTGGTCAGTGCTAGAGTGTCCCTGGGTTCAGCCCTCAGTACCAAGGAAAGGCAACACCCCCCACCCAAACCTCAGAGGCCACCTCCTGGAAGCAGAGCTGGCCACACTCCCTGGGTGGGGAGCTGACCTCCTGAGCCCCTCCCCCAGGTTCCTGGCCAACACGTCCTTCCAGGGCCGCACGGGGCCCGTGTGGGTGACCAGCACCTCGCAGGTGCACCTCTCTCGCAGCTTCAAGGTGTGGAGCCTTCTCCGGGACCCACTGGGCGCCCCAGCCTGGGCCACGGTGGGCAGCTGGCGGGACGGGCAGCTGGATTTGGAGCCAGGGGGCACTGCTTCCCAGCTCCCACCCCCAACAGGTGCCAGGGCCCGACCCAAATTGCGTGTGGTGACACTGGTGGAGCACCCGTTTGTGTTTGCCCGTGAGCCGGACGAGGACGGGCAGTGCCCGGCAGGGCAGCTGTGCCTGGACCCTGGCACCAATGACTCGGCTATGCTGGACGCTCTGTTTGCAGCGCTAGCCAATGGCTCAGTGCCCCACACCCTGCGCAAATGCTGCTACGGCTACTGCATTGACCTCCTGGAGCGGCTGGCTGAGGACGCGCCCTTCGACTTTGAGCTGTACATCGTGGGCGATGGCAAATACGGCGCCCTGCGGGAGGGCCGCTGGACCGGCCTGGTGGGTGACCTGCTGGCTGGCAGGGCCCACATGGCGGTCACCAGCTTCAGCATCAACTCGGCACGCTCGCAGGTCATGGACTTCACCAGCCCTTTCTTCTCTACCAGCCTGGGCATCCTGGTGCGGGCGCGGGACACGGCCTCACCCATCGGTGCCTTCATGTGGCCGCTGCACTGGTCCATGTGGCTGGGGGTCTTCGCGGCTCTGCACCTCACGGCGCTCTTCCTCACCCTGTACGAGTGGCGCAGCCCCTACGGGCTCACGCCCCGCGGGCGCAACCGGGGCACGGTGTTCTCCTACTCCTCCGCCCTCAACCTGTGCTATGCCATCCTTTTCGGACGCACTGTCTCCAGCAAGACCCCCAAGTGCCCCACGGGGCGCTTCCTCATGAACCTCTGGGCCATCTTCTGCCTGCTGGTGCTGTCCAGCTACACGGCCAACCTGGCCGCGGTCATGGTCGGAGACAAGACCTTCGAGGAGCTGTCAGGGATTCACGACCCCAAGGTGGGCAGCCTGGGTACCAGGGCTCCAGGGGCTTCACTGGGGCTCATGGTGCGTGGCAAGGTGGATCTCAGGGCGGATATGTTTATATTTTGCTGCTGGGAGAGGAACCCAGGTAAGCACTGAACTATGCCACAGTCCCCAGAGACATTTATTGAGCACCTAGTATGTTCCATGCTCTGTGGACAAAACAGGCAGAGAATCCTGACAGATAAGCAGAGTCCTCACATGACACTCTCCTGCTTGAGCAAATGGTCTTGTGATGTCTGTGATTAAGTGATCCAGTTAGGGGACACAGCTGTGCAAAGGCCCTGGGGCAGGCAGGGCCCCACAGCTCAGCTAAAAGCCAGTGTGGCTGGAGCAAGGCAGGAGGGAGACAGAAGATGAAGGGCGGGGAGAGGAGGATGGGAGGCAGGGAGGACAGGGAAGCTTATTTGGGGTCCTATGGGCTGCAGGGAAGACTTGGGCTTTGACTCTGGGGCATGTGGTTGAGGATGGAAAGGAAAATGGGAGGGTCCAGGTCCAGGTATTCTGCAGATGGAGAAGGCAGTGGGCTGTGACACAGGAGAAGCAGGGTGGGTGGGAAGCCCAAGGAGAGGTGCAGGGGGCTGTTGGGGAGAGATGGGTGTTCGGGGATCCTATGGGATTCTAAGTGGGATAAGAGTGGAATTCTGGTCCAACTTGTGAAGACAAACATGTGGGTGTCCAAAAGGGTCTCAACCTGGCGAGATGCTGCGCCCCAACCCTGGGCAGGGCCTGGGGGCATCTGTGGTGGTCGGGCCGCGGGAGCTCTGGGAAGAGAGGGCAGGGCCGCGGGGCTGAGCAGGCCCGACGCCTCTCCGCGCAGCTGCACCACCCGTCGCAGGGCTTCCGCTTCGGCACCGTGCGGGAGAGCAGCGCTGAGGCCTACATCAAGGCCAGCTTCCCCGAGATGCACGCGCACATGCGGCGCCACAGCGCGCCCACCACGCCCGACGGCGTCGCCATGCTCACGTGAGGCGGGGGCG